TGGCAATCCGCTCACCTCAGCCTCCCAAAGGCGCGGGATTACAGGCTGAGCCACCGAGCCCGGCTCCCCAGCTCACATTGTACACAACCCCCACCCCATGCCCATCTCAGCCTTGAATTAGAGCCGGAATTTGAACCCAGACCTGCTGTCTCTCGTGCCTCTGCCTTCTGAAAAATGACCTTGGTCACCCCCGTCAATGTCCAGGTTGCAGGTGGAAACGGTCCAGGGCGACGAGCACGACTCTGGGGCTCGACCTCCCAGTCGGCTCTGGGGGTGGCAGCTCAGACCGTGGCAGTTTTCCCCATCTGGACATGTGTTTCAACTCTTCGGGACCTGAGACAGCTGCAGGGTGTCAGGGGGACACAGATGCCTGCCTCCAGCATCTTACCTATGCCTGGCCGTGCCTTCCCCTGGGAGGGGTGATTCTCAGTATGGTTGCACAGGCCAGGGAAGAGCCAGAGAGACAAGAAGCAGGAGGGGGCCGGCAGAAGAGGGCAGTGGGGAGGAGGAAAAGGCCTTTCACTAAAATACGGGGATGTCTAAATAACGTGACAATGGGTGCAACGTCTGCTGGGCTGACCCTCAGACCTCATGTGCCTTCATGAGGTATGTGGTGGTACACACGGCCCCCCTGTCTGCAGCGTCAGCCACCCATAGCCAACCGTGGCCTGAAAACAGGTGGATACGGTGCAGTGAGATGTTTTTTGGAAGAGAGAGACCGCACTGACGTAACTTCCATGACAGGACGTTGTCCTCACTGTTCTGAGTGGTAGTCATTGCTGTTAATTTCACACCATGCCTCATTTATAAATCAAACTTTATCATGGGTATGCACGTGCAGGAAAAGTCACAGTACAGACAGGCTCAGTACCATGGGCGGGGGCATCACTGGGGACTTGAGACACACCCCCACAGCTGGGGAGGACTCCTGTGACCCCTTTTTATAGACCAGGAAGTGCCACACTGAGAGTATGTGTGACGTACTCAAGGCTGCATGCCCAGGCCTGCAGGACTCCAAACAGAGCGTTTGCTGGATGACACAGTGGGTGGAGTCACAGACCCCAGATGCCCACCATGTCCTTGACTGTGTAACCCTGGCCAAGTCCTCTCAGCCTCAAAGGCTTCAGTCTCTCCCTCCTGAGAAGTGAAGTGACCCTCTTGCTTCACCAGATGGGTACAGCTTATTGGCAAATATGAAGATGATACGATGTCCTGAGGACACAGGCTAAACCCAAACTGCAGTGTCCACCTTAGCACAGTTTCAACAAGAGGACAGTGAGTGTGCACCCTCCAGGCAGGGGCAGTCATCCGAACACAGTAATCAACAGCAAACAGTTGGAACCAACTTTGCTGTCCATCGAACATAGACTGGATTTTAAAAATGTTGTACATACGGAATATTACACAGTCATGAAGGATAAAATTATGAACATCACAGCAGCTTGAATGGATTTTGAGTCTGTAATACTCGGTGATTTATCACAGAAACAAAAAACTGAGTACCACATGTTCTTATTCATAAGCAGACCCTGAACAATTATCACAATACTACAAGAAAGGGACTGACAATAGTGGGAAACTGCCAGGGGAGGGGGGACACACTTCATCAATAAGGGTACCTTATCTCAAACCAGATGAAGTGGGGACCAAAGGGAGGCCCAAACTTTACCTGTACAATGACTATTGGTATACCTATCCCTGAATTGTACCTTTAAAATTAAAAAAGAAAAATTCCAACCAGGGCCGTTCACACCAAGCTGTACACAGTCAGGTCTTTTAAGACCTGGGGGATTCTGAGCACTGCACTTCTAACACTGCTTAGTTGCCAGAGAACTCTGCTCCCTGAATCACTCAAAGCAGGCACCGCCTAAAAAGTGTACATATTTTTTTTCTTTTACAAAGTTCATCAATTGCATTTTTTTAAGATTGCTATTATAATTCATCTAACCTTCCATCAGCGACTTGGTTTTGTTATCAGATGACACCCAGGGGTGTGTCTGAAAACTGCAGCTCCCAAAAGCAAACACAGGGCGCCCAGAACCCCACAGCCCAGCCTCCCTAGACAGGGCCCTGCCAAGCTGGAGTCCTGAGACAGCACAATCTTATCTCCACAGTTGCTGAGGAGGCTGGCCCCAGCGGGTCAACATTTTTCCACTAAGTCATGCTTTTTAATCATCCGGGCAGCAGAAAAATGAGAGGCTGCAACTGCCACTGGGCAGGGTGGGAAGGCAGTGGAAAAAGGCCTTGAGTCAGACTTGCCAAGCACATGACAGGTAGGGTCGGAGGCAGGCAGCCCCACACGCTGCGTGCCTGCAGGGAGGAAGGACCGCCCCTGCTCCAGAAAGAAACCACTTCTGGGTAAAGCTCTTAGCCCAGAGGGCCCCTCCTTGTGGACTGCGGAGAGGCCAAAGTCCTGCTCCCTTCCCTAAGAGGCCCAGAAAGAAAGATGGGGGTGGGGAGGTTGTCTCACCCTGGGCGGGGCTAAAGCATCCACCACCACTCCCCCCAGCTGCAACTCTCCCAGCTCTGCCCCCCGCTGCCCACCCTGGACTCCACACCCGGGGTCACACACCTGAATGTCACACCAGGCTGCCCAGGCTGATGGCAGGGATGGAACGATTGCACATCAAGCTCCCTCCTCTACAAAATGAACGAATCCCTGAGACCTCACACACCAAGAGCATTCTTGGGCCTGTTTGTCTCACGGTGCAGGAAACACTGGCATCCAGCCTCGGTGATGGTGAACTGTGCAGGAAACGCCTTGCCAGAGGCAACCGTTGCCAGGTGGCCCCAATTCCAGCAGGTATCCTGGAACCCGAATGCATTCACTTGGGAGGTCGGGGAAGGGGGGCTTTAGGACTTCAGGAGGAAGGGCCGGTCTGCGAGATGTGGCCTGGGTACCAGCAGACTCCTGGCTGTGAGGGTGAGCACTGCCCAGGAGAGCTTCTGCAATGTCACTGTATTAACATGGGTGTATATGTGACATAAGAAAACATGAACATACATTTAACACGACTTTAGGTAGCTACGGGTGACAGTGTCTACCACACTGGATAGACCATTAAGCAGGAGGCCCATGAAGGCAGGACTGTCTGGGACACTTGGATGCCCGGTTGCCTGACCCGGGCCTAGGAGGCCTCACACAGCCAGCCTGGAAGCTTCTGGAGATGAGGACCCAGTCAGCAGGCTTTCACTCAGGTCACGAGCCAGCTCCCACATCACCCACAGAGGAAATTGAAAGGCAACACCGGGGCCTCAAGGGCCCAAATTTGGGGGCCCTGCTATCACCTGTCTGCCTCTAAGCCAGGTGGCCT